CAGCACATTTCTGTTGAAGTGCTATAGTAGCTTCTACCAGTTTTTTCACCTCCTCAAGTGTGGCATGCTGTACACTTTGAGCGTACAAGGCTATGAGACTGGAAAAAAGCACAAGTGATTGAGGAAATAGTTTTGCGAATAGCAACACATTCAACAGTGAAGTCCTTGGTGCACTCTGAACTTGGCTGTTTGCTTGCAGACATTGCATTACCCAGGTCAGTAAGAGAATCAGCCCCAAGGATTCCACTGCTCAAAATCTGAGCTACGTATATTCTCTTCTACTGGGGACGTATTGAACAGGCACGCGGAGGACATAGAAGAGCACTGAGCGGTGCTTGGATTCGAAATTCCTCTTGTTCTGACCCTGAGAGCTTCAAGGTCACGGTTGTCAAACCTTAGGGAAAAAAGGACTATAGCAGGAGAGAAATTCCCCTTTCTGAAGGCAAAAACAAGAATTTAATGAATAATTTATAGCAGAGTTTTCTGGAAGACTTACGCGCCTGCAAACTCCTCAGGTGAAATTTTAGAGGCAACTTTGATGGTCCTATTATGGTCTTCTGTAAAGAAGACAGTAAACAAATTTTTACTCACTATTCCAGACAAGAATTTTTACATTTTTTGCCCTTGAAAAATTTCTAATTGAGTATGATGGTATGACACTATATTCATTTCTCTTGTAATTAAAAAAAAAAAGATGACAATACATGTAACACAAAGTATATATATGTAATGTTTCCTTATCCTCATGCTCAGCTTCCAGGAACTACTTGAAAACATCTCATGTGGTCTTCTTGGCAACTAGGCAAAATAGTTTTGCCATTTCCTTTTCCTCAGAAGTTGGTCTGATGCCTCAGTGTAACCTCCATTGTCTCTGGTATTTCTCAAAGGTCCACTATATTAGTACTAACTCAGTATGACCCTGCTTATAATTTTGAAATCAACCAAGTCAGCAAGATTCTGCAGAAGAAGAAACTTCTTAGTATTTTCTCCTAAACATCTAGTAAATGTTTACAATAATTATCTTGATTGCAGGAAATGTCAGGGCCTGCAATAGAGAATGCCATGATTTGGGGCATGTAAAATATTTATATATTCAAGAGAATTAGGCACATATATACCATTCTGAATTTACTGTAGGGAATTTTTCACCCTCCAAATATTGCTAAGCCATAACCAACAGACCCTGGTTGGGTTGAGATGACTTGTAGACAACTATAATGCTAAAACAAACACACTTCACTGGGAAATTCTTGGATAAAAATCCAGTTAAAATGCAATGGATTTATACATT